AAGTTGGAGATATAAAAGGTGTCTCCTAGCGCAAAGATGCATGTCGCCTACAATAACGCGCTGCGGCTGAAAAGAGGTAACAAAGGTAAGACAAAAAACTGATAATGGTATGAGGGATGAGAGAGTATCGATGGCTAGCGATGGCATTTGGAGAAAGCCTTCTAGTTGGTAGTGGATACCTACAGTGTCCCAGAATTAGGCAGTAAACAGCAAACGTATATGACACAGACCCACCCACAGAATAAAGGTGGAGAGATAAAATAGTGGCTCCCAGAAAGCTCCGGATACGCGCAGAGATGTATGAAGCTTACAACGAAAAGGTGCTGTTTAACCGGTGCCAACGGTCAGACGATGAGCAGCTAAAGGCGCTAGGAGCGGGAATATCAGTGGCCAGCAATGGCGTTCAAATAAAGCCTTCTGGTTACTAGTGTATATCTACAGGGTCCAAAAAATAAGTCAACAAACAGCAAATGTATTTGACGCAGGTAGTAGTTGCTTAAGCGGAACATTTGATGCTGACGAAAATGTCCTTTCATCTTTATCATTGCGGACGTTTAGAAGCCTATAATTGGCAATGACTTCCTCAGCAAATTCGGCCTTGTGGTTAAGTTGCGTTGCCGAACGTTACGGGATGACAACACTTAGTCAACTGTCCTTTGCCCGGTTGTTACAGTTTACTTCTTTGGACTTTGCGTACTTATGCCAGACCCAACGCACTATTTGGTATTGCTACATCCATTATTATCTCTGCTCAGAACGCATACAGACACGGATGAGCCCAAACACGAGATTCGTCACCATATCGTCGGTACCGGTCCACCTGTGTCATGGAAAGCGAGAGGCTTTTCATCTGACGAACTGCAGGTGGCTAAAGAAGAATTCGATCACCTGATCCATCTCGGCTTCAACCGCCCATCCAAAAGTTGTCTGGCTTCTCCTCTTTACTTGGTACCCAAAAGGCCTGCTAATTGACGCCCATGAGGCGACTATCTGACAATCAATAGCACATTAGTCCTTGATCGATACACTATTCCACATTTCCCTGATTTTTCATTAGGATGGGCAGGAAAGTTCAGCTCTTCTCGGATTGAGGTCGTTTGTGCCCACCATCAAATCTCGATGGCTCCTGAAGACGTGGCTAAAACGTCTGTTATCATGTCTTTCGGCTTACGTGAGTTGAGCCGCGTAACCTTTGGCCTCCGCAACGCCACACAGTAGTTTCAGCGTTTCATGGACCAAGCCCTTTGTGATATAGACTTTGCTTTCGTTTACATTGACGATGACTGGCTAGCTGAACAACTTCTTCGTGGTGCCAGCTGGGTGGTTTGTGTTCAACCCGGTCCAGCAAATAGGTCGGCGGCAGTGTTCCAAGAAGTGGTGGGTTTTCGCCTGGCAAGCATTTTCCCTATAAAAGCCACAAATGTCTGTTTAACAACACTGGGACGTAGCGGTTGTGACTCTCCACAAGTAACGTCACCCCATTGCTTGCCCGGACAACTACTTCAAGCCCACAGACAACAAGCATCTATTTAGCACTGCCACAAGTTCAAACACAAGCAAAGTGCAGGAACACAGCTACAAATGCTTTAACACAGCCTTACACGCCTGCATAATCGGCGGCGTCCGTTTTTGGATTTGTTTGTCACTGTGACAAGCCACAGGACGTCTGCGCCTACAGAGGGACCATGGGTGGGTTGTGCTGCACCAACCACAGCTCTATCCACACACCCGGTATCCAGTGTACACCCGAAGGAATAAAATCGGGAGGCATGCGGATAGGAGCCATGGTTCATCAACGCAGCCGGCCCACACTCCTTCACAAGCGAAAACAAGCACACTGTATTTGGGAACTAAGTGCACACAAGGCGATGACTGGACCGTAGTCCGCTCCAAACTGAGTGCATGGAACCACTTGTAGGACTAGTTAATACTAGTCCGAGACGGTGCGCGAAAGTAAAGCGCGGATATCAGAAGGTAATGGGAGTCGGACACAGCGGATTGTATTCGATGGGCTGCAATAAGAGCGGACGGATGAAGCGAGGCGAGAAAGTACATGTAAGCGAGGGCACTTACAAGGCAGTGGGGTAACCAACCGGTTGTAAGGAAGCTTAAAACAAGAAGGAGTAATGTACAATCGGTCAACAATTAAATTGTACACGAAAGATAGCAGTTATCATTTAGGGCGCTACAGAGCTCCCCTAGAAGGCTGAACATAGAAAGCCTTCGAAATCAAAAAAAGCTGTTGAACCGAGGTTCGTAAGGCAAAATCGTGCCGAATAACCATAAGCGGCGTTCGTGTCAAGTAGGGGTTCGTCGAAAGTCGGAGTCTGCTGTGACGTTTGTGATTTGTTATTTATTGTTTGCGGGCCAGGGTGCATTTCCGCGAGCCGTTGGAGCGAGCTTGTCGGACTACAAATAACTGGCTAGTCCAGAAAAAGGCCGACAGGACCTAAACCTTCGCTGCTTACAAACAGTATGCTTGGGAGTGGTCTGCCCCCCGCCGCACCCCGCCTTGCGCCAAAACGGACGTCGTCACACGAGGAAACGTCAATGGTCCCACGGAGAAGCGACCCTCGTCCCGCGAAGAAGCGACACTCGTCCTGCGGAGAAATGTCAACCGCTCCGCGGAGAAGCGGCGCTCATCGCGCGGAGAAGCGACCCGCGTTCGCGCCAGGGTCCACGGAAACATTCCTCGTGTGTGGGGTATATAAAGGCAAGAAGATAGAAAAACACGCGCATAAAACGCCAAAAAGGACAAGTGAAAGATCTGTGTGATTAAAATGTTTGTTTTTTGACTATTTTTTCGAAAAAGGCTTTTCGGTGGATTTTGATATTTTTGTTTGTTTTCCAAACGTTACTCGACAATAAATGGGGCAAATATATAAAGTATCTACAAAGTTAAAAGTGTTTACACTGTACATAGTCGGAAAAACGAACTGGCTTCGCACATCCCGACCACGGCGATCAGTCGTAGGAAGCGGCGAGCTAGATTCGAGAGATGTTGGGATGGATTGTAGACCGAGATCGTGGTCTGGTTGAACTGCACTAGGATGCTGTAAGCTGGTGCGGTGAGTTGTGACGTCGCACGAAACGCTAGTAGACGAAGTAGGCGAGGGGTTTTCTTCCATAAACGCGGATTTTAGACGGGCGATGGTGACGCTTTCGCGTCGCCCACCGCGGTCAATAGTGTACGTCTTACTCCTACGATGAAGCACATTAAAAGGTCTTACGTACGGCGACTGAAGAGGCTGCCGAACACCATCTGCGCGAAGAAGGACGTGTAAACACGTAGACAGCTTCTCGGGCACGTACACTAGTGGCATCTGCGATCGATGAGCGGGTGGACGTAGCTCACGCATCTGGTGAGCCAATCCATCACTGTAACTTCCGTAGTCAAAAGTGGAAGTGCATAGAGTAGGTGCTACCAGCTGTCCGGGCAACGGCAGCGTGCAGCCGTAGACTAGCTGCGCTGATGTGGCGTCGGAATCGGTTTTAACCGTGTTTTTTAAGCCTAGGAGAACGAGGGAAAGCGTTTCAGACTATGAGGAAGCTGCGTGCGCACGTAGCGCTGCCTTCAACTGGCGATGAAAACGCTCCACCATGCCGTTAGCGGCCGGATGATATGCTGCCGTCTAGACGTGGGGACAGCCTAAATCCTTAAGCAACATAGCAAAGGTTGATGAGAAATGTCACCCTCGATCGATGGTCACTATAGCAGGACAGGCGTAGTGAGCTACCCAGTGCCCTAGAAAAGCTTTCGCTATTGTTTCCGTAGAGCGGTTAGGTATAGGAATAGCTCCCGGCCACCTATTGAATCGACCGACACAGGTCAGCAGACACACATAGCTTTTCGAAGGCGGCAGAGGATCTGCGAGGTTTACGTGAAAGTGGTGAAAACGTGTGTCTGGCGACGGAAATGCGCCTAATGGGCTTCTCGTGTGCTTGTGCGCCTACGCGCGTTGGCACAGAACGCAAGCAGCTGCCCAAGTACGGACGTCCCGAGTAACATTGCGCCAAACGAATCGTGCGGTTACGAGTTTAACCGATGCACGAACGCCTGGATGAGACAAGCCGTGCAACATGTGGAACACGGTCTGCCGAAACTCGCGTGGAACGCCTGGGCGCGGCGTAGCTTGAGATAAGTTGCAGAGTATAGTGCCGCCTGCTGATGTCCGCGCATCCGATCATATGCCTAATGAGGAAGACCTGCGTAGTAGGCCAAGCTTATTATCGTAAGTTGTGCTGTGGCCATAGCTGCCAAGTCGATAGCGGTGCCGGCGTCAGCGGAGATAGTTTGGATGCGGGAAACTGCATCGGCGACGGCGTTGTGCACGCGTGATACATTCCGTATATCGGCCCTAAACCAAGCGATATAGTCAAGGCGGCGCGACTCGCTAGGAGAGTATCGATCGGCAGTCGAGCCGAGCACGTAAAGCTAGGGTTTGTGATCGGTAAAGACGAGAAAGGAGCGGCCTTCTAGGACGTGTCGAAAGTGAAGTGTCGCTAGATATCCGGCTAGTAATTCTCTACCGAACGTGCTGGAGCGATATTCGGTTGGTTGTAGCCGTTTGGAGAAAAACGCTAAGGGTTGCCACTTGACGGATACTCGTTGCTTCAAAACAGCGCCGACTGCCACGTCCGAGGCGTCCGTACTGAGTGACAGTGGGGCGGCCGGGTCGTGGTGCGCTGTAGAAGCTATGTTGGCGATAGCCCCTCTCTGCGACTTAAAAGCAGCACGTGTTGCGACATAAAATTCGAACTTCTTGAACTTCCCTCACAGAAGCTCCTTAAAGAGTTGCATCAGCGATGCGCAGTTTGGTATAAATCATCGGTAAAAGTTGACAAGGCCATCAAAACGCCTGAGCTGTTTGAAAGCATGAGGCTCGGCGTAGTCGATGATGGCTTGAATTTTACCTTGAAGTTGCACGACGCCTGCAGAAGAGATACGATGGCCGAGGAAGTTGAATGAATCGACACCAACGAACACTTTTCTGTGTAGATCATCTTCCCGTGTTGAGATCAACGATCGAAAGCGTTCGTAAGTGGCGTATGTACTCTTCTCCTGAAGAGCTTGCGATTAAAATGTCATCCAGATCCGCGTAAGCGAAGTCTAAACAGCGACAAACTTGGTCGATGAAACGCTGAAAAGTTTGCGCAGCGTTCTTCATGCCAAAGTTCATGCGCAGGAACTCGAACAAACCAAATGGAGTCGTCACGGCGGTTTTAGCGATGTCCGCTTCGGCTACCGGGATTTGGTTGTATGCGCGTACTGAGTCGATTTTGCTGAAAATAATTTTACCTTCCAGACTGGCGGTGTGATCCACTAGGTGAGGGATCGGATAGCGATCGGGCGTGTTAACTGTATTCAAGGCTCGATAGTCGCCGCAAGGACGCCAGTCTCCCATGACCTTCTTCGGGACCATGTACAGAGGCGACGCCCATGAGCTGTTGGAAGGTCTAACGATACCGAGCTGAAGCATGTGGTCGAATTCAGATAGTGTTGCACGTAGTCTGTTAGGAGCAAGCCGTCTTGGTCGTGCGCTAACTGGCTGACCACGCGTGACTATGTGATGAGCGACTTCTGTCGTGACTGGCGGAAGCTCTGCAGCTGATCGTACCAGTCGCGGATATTCAGATATTAGGTTCGCATAACCTTATGGTACCTCGGCGATTCGAAAAACGGCGTACGTAAGAACGCCTTCAAGCCCTAGTTTAGTTCGGTCATCTAACAGTCTTTGGCCATCAGCATCAACAAGCAATCCAAAATGTCGTAGGAAGGCGATACCGATAATTGCAAAGGTTACAGACGCAACCATGAAGACCCACTGAAAATCGGCGGAGATTGAAGTCAAGCTTCATCATGCGCTGACCGAATGAAGCTAATGGGGAACCATTGGCCGCACGCAAATTGTACGTGGGCTCTGAGTGCTTGTCGTTAGCGGTCGCTGGGATGACGCTGACTTCTGCTCCCGTGTCGATGAGGAACGTGATGGAAGAACGTCGAGCCTTAAGGTAAAACAGTCGGTTTGCGTGGTTATTGAATGATACTTTTATCGTGCTAGTATGCGAGCTATTAGTTTTCCGTGAAGCAGCTCGGTCGTGCCTACTGCAGGGAGCCCGACAACGTCTAGCTCTTCCACCATATTGGCGGTGATACCAACATGCTTCTTCGACGTGTTTGACATTATCTGGCTGAGAACTTGTAGGGGAAATGCGCTTTTGTTCCGAAGGTGACATGCTCGGTGCAGGCACAGACAAGCCGCAATGAACTGTAGCCAAAATGTGGTCAGCAATCGAAAGTGATACACGCTGCGTCAAAGATTTCATTTCTGCTATCTTGCTGCGAATTAGCGCAATTTCCTCGACTTTACAGTCAGACCGGCCTAACGACTGGGAGAAAACATGAAATTCGGTTTTCATCGGTGAGAATACGTCACCGGAGCTACTCGTCGTCTGCTGCGGAAAACGTTCGAAAGCAGCTTCTGCCTTGGTAGCTAAGTCTTTCAGGGGTGTATCTATAAACATGGACAGCCATACCGGCAATGGCTTTGGGAGACGTGCAAACCACAGCTTATTTATCGCTTCTTCGCTCAAGAATAAGGGACCGACAATGCGCTGAATTTCGCGGAGCAGCGCCGACGGCTTGTGACCCCCATGTTTGAGACAATTGAGCTGTTCAAATCGAGTTCGTGCGCTGGGCCGTAATTCGTTGAAAATCGCTTGCTGCACCGTTTCATACTTTGCCTCACTCGATGGGCAGAGTAGAATGTCCTCAATCAGCGTCCCAACTGACGGAGGAAGGCGTGGGACGAGCTGATTGTACCACGGACGGTCCGCCGTAATGCCCTTATTTTCCAGTTCGCTCTCGAATATCGTAAACCAAACTTCTGGACTGTGTTCCATGAAACTTGGAACAGCCAAAGTAAGCATGGTTACGCTGTGAAACGACTCAGATGCCACTCTCGAAATGTGTGTCGAAAGTTACAGAATGAACAAAGTACGATAAAAGCACTAAATTACGCAAGAAACAAGTGAATATAGGTATATAATCTAGAAAAAGGAACGAACTCACCAAAAAATACAGAAGATGAAAAATTGTTGAATTCGCGCGTGCGAATCGGGGTCACCGATTTGTAAGACTAGTTAATACTAGTCCGAGACGGTGCGCGAATTTAAAGCGCGGATATCAGAAGGCAATGGGAGTCGGACACAGCGGATTGTATTCGATGGGTTACAGTAGGAAGCGGACGGATGAAGCGAGGCGAGAGCATACACTTGAGCGCGGGAACTTACAGGGCAGTGGGGTAACGAGCCGGTTGTAAGAAAGATTAAAACAAGAAGGAGTAATGTACAACCGGTCGGCAATTAAATTGTACACGAAAGATAGCAGTTATCTTATAGGGCGCCAAGTTTCTTCAACGGAGCCGGCCCACATTCCTACACAAACAGACACAAGCACACTCTATTTGGCAAATCAAGTGCACACAGGGCGGTGGCTGGACCGTAGTCCGCTCTACACTAGTGCATGGAACCACTCTTTGACCCTAGCACAACCACAAGGACCGTGCACCCCGTCCCCTCCAGCAACGACCAACTGTCTCCTGGGGCCAGTATGAACGAGGTAGTGGGTAATAGACAGGTAGGCACCTTGTCAACAGACACATTAAGCGCAGCCCCACCGGGGATATCAAGCAACAGCCAATCACTTGAGAGAAAGATACCTAAGAAAATAAATCGAGTACTGCATAAGGAAACGGGGACACAAGTATTAACGAGCATATGAAATAAGTTGTTTACAAAAGTTTCCGAGGTAATTTCACGAGGTTAAAAAGTAAAGTTTACAGAAATGCGACAAACACAAACATGCTATATTAATTGACTACAATTGGCTTAAGCGACGTGTGCAATTTTATAGAAGAGAGTACAGGGAGATGTTTTATGAGGAAGAAAAGCATTAGGACAAAATTGATAAACCCACCACCTGAAATAAAGTGAATCAGCATGCAAGCACGCGGTTAGTAAATCAAATGCAGCGTGCTTACAAACGCTGCGCCGGTTCTGCCTACGTTCTCTGCAGGACCCGTCGTCGCTTCGGTAGTGGTCCCGAGTGGCTTCGCTCATGGCTCATTAGGCATGCCTGACTCAGGCACTCGCAACCGCATGTGCTACAGCATCATGCGCTCAATGTCCATGGAGTACAATACATCGGTGCTTGCCGCCTCCGCACTTGCCGCTTCTTCTCTTAATGCAAGAGGTCTTTTACTCGCACTTTAGCAACTGCCTTCATGATTAAGTCGCGCCATGTACGCCGATCAACCGCCTTCGATTCCCATGACCCGCAATCAAGATTAGAACGTGTGAGGCTCACTTTAATCATGTCCTGGTGACGTAACTTTGGTTTCTTTGCATGCCGCTTTCCAATACTCGGCTGACCGTATAAGAGTTGTTTCGATATCCGCGTCGAATCCATACGCCACACATGACCGAGCCATCTCAGGTGTCTCAGTATAAGTATGCAGTCCACTGCATACCTCTCACTTTGTCATACCACTTCCGTGTCAGCAACTCTGTCGCCCCAACTGATGCGCGAAATCCGTCGTAAACATTGCTGATGGAACCGCTCGGGATGTCTCACATCCCACCGGTACATGGTCCACGTTTCACTGCCGTATAGAAAAACGGACAGTACCATGGAATTGTACACCATCAGCTTCGTGCCAATGCTAAGCTGATGGTTGTTCCGCTCTCGGTACTCAAGCTTCCCGAATGCAGCTGCCGCCTTCGACATGTGACTACGCAACTCAACGTGTAGCTGCTGATCAGTCGACATCACACTCCCAAGGTAGCAGAAGCAGGAGATGGTTTCCATTATTTCAGCACCAATGCTGATTCGCGGCAAGATTGGAGATTGCAACTCCGGAGAAGGATGAAAGGGACAGACAGGTTTGCTTGTGTTGATGATGAGCCCGAATTTGGCCGCTGTCGGAGCTAGAGCACTAGTGATGTGTTGCAACTCATCCGCGCTGTGTGAAAACAACGCACAGTTGTCAGCAACCAGCAACATACGAATAGTTGTCTCACAGACAAGTCGTGGCACCGAAACGACGGACGTTCGGCAACCCACCAACAATACTGTGCTCCACACGAACACCGTAAGCACAAGCGGCATCAGAAGCACAAGACCTCATGGCATGAAGGTATATATTAAACAGGGCAGGAGCTAAGACACAGCCTTGCTTTACACCAGTGCCAACTGCAAAGTCATCCGAGGTCTCTCCACTCAGCTGCGCCCTCGTTCGCATGCCGCTGTGTAGATATTCAAGTAAACCTACAAACTTACGCAGGCATACTAACTTACCCAACACCAACCACAGTGTCTTGCGGTTCACTGTAGCAAATGTCTTGATGAAATCAACAAAAGCAAGTACAATGACTGGTGTCCTTCTCTTTACTTCTCCTGCAACTGACGAGCCGCAAACACTATATCTATAGTGCTGCGATCCGAACGGAATCCGCACTGCTCTTCCGCCACGTTAGGTTCCACAACCTGACTGACGAGGCGGTTGATCAGGATTCGGGCAATCACCCTGCCCACACAACTCAGCTAGTTGATGCCACGATACTTCGTGCAACATTGTTTGCTACCTTTACTCTTGTACAGTGGTAGCACAAGTGCATCCTTCAGATCAGGAGGCACCCCCTCCTCAATCCATACGCGTTGCAGCAAGTGGTGCAGCGCAGTCAACAACGCGGGTCCGCCGTGTTTCAATACTTCATGCGGGATCCCGTCGGCCCCGGCATACTTGCCGTTTCGCAGCTGAGCTGTTGCTCGCTGCGTCTCATTCAGTGTCGGCGTGTCCGCCAGCTTCGCCTTCACATCGTGCTGCTTCAGGCCGTTCAGTGTAGGCCAGTCGATCTCTGAACGGTTGTTAAAGAGATAGTCAAAGTGTTTCCACCAGATCTGCACTATGTCTGCAGTCTGTGTGAAGGTAGCGCTTGAACTATCATTGACCAGCGTCCTCAGCGGCTCCAATCTCGGTCCATACACCGCCTTCAAGGAGTCAAAGAATTCATTGTGTTGGCGCGTTCGGCGTAGCATTCCATTTTCTTCGCCTTCTCGGTCCACCATGAATTTTGATGCAACGGAGATCTCGGGTCAGTCGCCGTCGAAGTTTGCGAAACTGACTACTCTTCCCCAAGTCACTGGGGTCTGCGACATGTGCAGCGAATGCTGCATTCCTCTCCGACACCGATGCGCCAATCGTCGCATTGTTGTCATCAAACCAATCAGGCCGCTTACAGTTTGCGCGCCCAATGGTCTCCTCGACAGCAGCTGTCACCTGGTCGTGAATGTGGTGTCACGGGTCGCCCACTGTGGCTATGCATTCCACATCACACAGGCGTGCAGCCATCGCCTTCTCCAGCTCAGTACGTTTTGCCTCAGTACCGAGAGAGGGAATGTTAAATGTACGCCGATTCA